CAATCGCGGCTCATTGCAACCTCTGCCTCCCAGGTCCAAGAAGTTCTTCTGCCTTAGCCCCTCGAGTAGCTAGGATTACAGACTTGTGCCACCATGTCCAGGTAATTTCTGTATTTTTAGTAGAGACAGGGTTTCACCATGTTGTCCAGGCTGGGTCTTGAACTCATGACCTCATGATCAGCCTGCCTCGGCCTCCCAAAGTGCTGGGATTACAGGTGTGAGCCACTGCACCTGGCCTGTTCTTGTTTTCCTATTTCTTTAGGGTGCATCATTATGTTGTTTACTTGAAGTTTTTCCCCTTTTTAAAATAAAAAAAAAATTAGACCCCCACAAAAGCGTTTTCTTCTTTTCTGATGTGGCATGCTTCGTCCTGCTTCTGCTACACCCCATAGGTCTTGGTATGTTGTGCTTCCATTATCACGTGTTTCAAGAAATGTTTCAATTTTCCTTAATTTCTTCATTGACCCACTTCATTCAGGAGCATATTGTTTAATGTTTCTGTGTTTGTATAGTTTCCAAAATTCCTCTTGTTATTGATTTCTAGTTTTATTTCAAAAATACATGTGATTTTTGTATATTGACCTTCTATCCTGTTACTTTGGCAAATGAATAGTTCTAGTTGCTTTACGTAGATGATTTGGGGCTATTAAAGTTTAGTTATAATAATTACATTTATTAAGTACATCTTGTGTCAGGCATTGCTTCAGCTTTCCTCACAGAGTTTTCACTTGATCATACCAGAAACTGACCTCACAGTGGAAGTCACTGGCTTGCCCAGGTTCCCAGCTCATATGTATCAGAAGCACAGTGGGAAAAGGGGGGGCTTAGGGCCTAATTTTGAGGATAAGACAAAAAGCTAGAATCCTTTTTCTGAGGATTTTCTGGGTGCCAGGTGCAGTACTGAGACTTTGAGGCACAGTTTTCCACTGAATCCCCAAAGGCGCCCACGAGGTGGATGCTGTTCTCATCCCTGCGGCACTGCACAGGGACCAGGCAACCTGCTGAGGGGCAGACACTCACGTGAAGCTGGTGGTATCTTTGAGCAGCGGCCACACGAGTGCTCATGGCCAGGCTCCAGGAGACTCCGGGGGAACCCCAGGCCTTTTTCTATTTTTACCTCCTATCATAGATACATATATATATATATATATATATATATA